CGAGTCGCTCGAAGTGCGAGTACCCTCCATACTCTTCGCTCGGGAGCTGATCGAGTGTGCGCTCCCACGCCTCTGGTCCAGAGCTTGGCCGATGACTTCTTCCTGCGGAGTTCTGAGGCGTGGCTTAGTATTTCGGACTCTAGAGTCACGGCTGCCATCGAGGCGGCCGATAGGATTTTGGGGTCCACGCCTGGGCTTCGGGAGCCCTCCTCGGGACAGGGCGCGGTCCCTCCTCAGCCGCTGGAGCAGGCGAATGCTGCCAGTGGCTCTGCCGACGCTCCCCAACCAATTCTTGCCGAATTCGCTGAATTGGGGCATGACGTTTTCTGTGTTAATTCCGTTTATTGCTGCCGCAAATGCGGGGGCAATTTCAACGGGTCCGAGTCCTTCAGGTCCGCCCGCAAACTGCGGGCGTTGTGCCAAGGGTTTTCGGAGAATCCAAAGACTCGGGCTAACCAGCACACGGCGATCGACAGAATCACCCGTGGCTTGGAGCCCCGCCAGCGAGGGGCAGGTGCGGCACGTTCTGGCCCGAACCCTGCCCCCTAGCGTTGCTCTTTGGACCCTGGGAGGCTTTAGGGTGTGGTTTTCCTGAGGCGCCCCACCCTCTCCCAGGCTTTCGCCTTTTCCGCCACCCCTGTGGCTCTCAGGTCTCACACGCGGTTGGTGTTCGTCACTCGGACGCCTCTCCTGCGGCTCGCTCGCTCCCGCTCTTTCGTGGGGAATGCCACCCATGCGACAGCATCAGACCCGCCCGACCCCCATCCTGGACCAAAGGAGTGTGCACGGGGCCGCCTGGCCAGGCCAGGGAGGTATACACCACGTGCACAAAAGCTTGGAGAAGTGGGGGGAGGAGGAGGTAGAAGGGGATGTGTCCACCCCTATCCCGGGCTGTGCTGGGTTTTCGAATGGACCAGAACTGTTGGGCCCAACCCTGGGATATACACAAGGGGGGGCGTCCATCCACGATAGAGGTGCGTCCGAATAGCCCCGTTGTGGTGTGTCCCAGGATGTTCCTCCCTTTCTGAGCGGTTTCATTTTTCGTCGAAAGTCAGGGGCTGGAGGAGAAACATCCCCTGCGAGGAGAGGGGAGAGGAGCATAAGGGGAAGGAAGGGAGTGAAGGGCCCAGGACGAGCCCCGCAAGCGAACGCGGCAGTCCAGAAACGCCCCGTCCCTCTTCGAGGCCCCCGTACCCCCACCGTGTAGTAGATGTGGCACTTGGCGATGCTGTCGATGTGGTCGAAACCTGTACACATCTCGTCGGACATGCATTCGGCGCCGCACTGCATGAGCGACAGGCGCTGGTCGGGAAGGTTGGAAGTGGGCGGAAATGAAGAGGCTAGAGAGAGGGCGAGGGGGAGAAGAGGATGGGGATCCGACGGAAGGCACTTCGCAATGTTTGGCTTCCAGGTGCCATTACTGGGCCTCGGGACCGTCACGAGACTACTCAGGACGAAAAGCCGGCCCATGGAAGGGTCCAGACCACTTGGGGTCCACGTTATACGAAAAGACATGACCGCGGCGATTGGGGGTGAAAGGAGGAAGAAGACAGGTGCATGTGGAGACGCACATGCATTCGAAGAGAATGAAGACGAAGCGAAGCGATACAGCGGCGAGGAAAAACTGGAGGAAGTAAGAAGATGACGAGGAAAGGCCAAAGAGGGAAAAGAAACAACAACGATCTAGGCCCAGGAAGGCGGCGGAGAGGATGGAGGGAGGAGGAGAGCAGAGGTGATGGACGTGGGAACGCTGTCAATAATGCACACAAGACGGTAATGCTTGAGACAGGACATCGCGACCCCAGGATGAACATTAATCGGCATGGAGCCAAGCCTAGGACACGCTCCCCTGGACGGTCCCAGGGCGCATGACCGCGGCTCCGTCGCAAGATGCCACACACTCGGATACCATCCAGCTTCGCTTCTCAAAGCGGTCGATCTTGTCAGAGCGAGGGGTCTTGGTGCCCAGGCGCGGACCGACAGAGCAGAGGTGTCTGGTCACGATCCACCATTGCAACATGATGGCAACATATCGCGATCATAACCCACCAGTCCTGGATGTAATTGCGAGCCTGGGCATGGACAAGCACGGGCGCACATTTGCGAGAAAACACATAGAGAGAGGAGATGACGATGGACGCGGGCCTGATCCTTGTTGGCCTTCATGGGTCGGAAGCGCTGGTTTTGGCACTGGCCAGGGTTCCCGACGTAATCGTAGCCGGGCACCTTCTTCGCAAGAACTGCGGAGTTGCTGCGGACCTCCACGCTTCTGCGAGGCACAGCGAGGCGGGTGGTCCAAGACCCAGACAACACGAACTGGGCGGTGCCCACAAAGAAGGCTGCGCAAGGGGGGCGGCCTTCTGAGAAGGCGGAGGGGCTTCGTAGAAGGTAGGAGCCTTCTTAAAAGGCCTGGGAGGCTTCTGAGAAGGCCTCTTGGAAGCGGGGCGGACTTCTAAGAAGCCCCCCCCGTACCAACTTAGAAGCCCCACCGCCTTCTTAG